CTAATTAACGGGCTTTTACCTTACTGAGCATCCCTGGATAAGTATACGCAAAGGTGTTGGAAAGGAAGTGCCGCGGGATAGCTGACCCTAAGATCTAAAAAGTGTAGTGTGGCATCAGGTCAGACCAGCGCCCTTCTGACCAGACCTTCGCCTTACGCCAGATTGTTGAGAGCTCCTGAGTTCACCCATCCGGTTTATATGCGCTTAGTTGACCTGGAGAAAGCTCATGACTGAATTCCGCGTAAAGGCTGTGGACGTGCCTGCAAACATATAGGGTCGACAGACGGTTGCCAAGAGCCATTCAGTCACTGCATGTCGACAACAGGTTCTGCGTCAGAGTAAATGACGTTAATTCGAGATTTCTCAGTGTGGGTACTGTTCTCCGCTAGCCGTCCGTTCTACCCCTTATAGCATTTGTGTTGTGCGTGGATACGATGGTCAGACGCAGCCACGGCGACGAGTGAAAGTGGGTGCGACTGTAAGGATGATAAATTTGCTGTTTGCAGACAAACTTGTTTGCTGACAGCTTCTGAAGCCAATATCTAGTGTTCTCTCGAAAAGTTCGCAGCCGAGTGCGCCGTGGACGGCGTGCCTTAGAAGAAGTCCTAGTCTTTTCATTTTCTGCATGCCATGATCTGCAGATCAACGAAAAGGAAGTGTTCACGTACCTCGGGGTGATGTACAATGTGAACAAGAGATCGAAATGGCCAGCGGAGTTCTGCACGAACTAACCTGAACCGTGGCGACTAAGACAAAGCTAAATCTGAGGACGAGGCCATCTGCATACAAATCGAACTTCATCCAAATACTCACAGTCATGAGTCATCAGCCATGACTGAAAAACTGCGATTAAATGTATAAGAGGCTGAAATGGACTTTCGCTTGCTTCACGCATTTCGACATGGTCCGGAGTTCAAATATCTGAGTTTTGGCGAATAGTCGCTGTTTCTGAAAAATGGGAAGTCACAGCTGTGATGGACTGGTCACGTCTTGTGAATGTTTTCAAAAAGGAAAACTAAACAGCTACTACTTGCTCAACCGACCGAACGAAGACACCGAGCACGGCCAAGAATGACCAGGGGCAAGTCTCTATAGGCGCTGCCCTGGAGACAGATTTTCTTCTGCCGCTCAAACGCTGGTACAAGATCGGGAAAGACGGAGATACTGAGTCTGCCTCCTCGACCGAAAAAGATAAG